TCATGATGATAATTGCCCCAATAAAAAGAATGTTAATAATGATAATGATAATGATGATAATAATAATCACAAGGTAACATTGATAACATGATTATTCATACAATTGTAGTAATGATAATATCAATAATAATATTGCTACTCTTGATAATGATGAAAATAATTATCATCCACAGTAGCTCCAGCAACACCAATATTAATAACGGTAAAAGTGATGATTTTAACAGTAACTTCAATTGTACAATTATAATTATAAAATGATAGTGGTGATGATTATAATGGTATTAACAGTAGTAGTAATAATGAAATAAGTTATGCTGATAATTATGATTATAACAATAGTAATGGTAGAAATTGTAGTGCTACTATCACTCAATAATGATTCTACTATTACCACTAGTAACATGAATAATGATAATCATAGCGATGATGACGATTATCATAACATTAACAAAAGTGATAAAAATAGTAATGATTATGATAACAATAAAGATATTCTGAATAATGATGACAAATAAGTTAATTTTCAGAATTTAGGATATAATACTGTAGCTAAAATCAGATATTCCCTGAATCGCTTTCATTTTTGTTCACCTTTCCATTGCTTGTGCATTTTCTTTGGCACCAGTCAGAAGTGGAGATATGACTTTTTCAGGATTTGAATCTGAGAAGACTATAGGAGTGTGGCAATATATGATATAAAATAACTTCTCATATTACTTTATTTTGTCTATTTTTGTAAGGGGATGTGAAAACAGCCTCACCCAGGAGCCAAGGCGCTGTACGATACAAAAGATTAGACTGTAGAAAGGAAGGAAAGCCACGCCCCCTTGCCCATTTCTGAGGTGGTCAAGATGTTCCCAAGGTATTTAAGACGGCGTCATACCCATGGCACCAGACAGCTCCTTGACGGTGGCCAACATGAACTCTCTGGTGAGTTTAGGAACCCCAGTTTTCGCTGAGGTTGAACGGAGTCTCTTCTCGTTTTGGTGATTTCAGTCAGGTTTAAAGATGAAATTTTCTCGGTTTCTAATTCAGTGTATTTTCATGTAATGAAAATGATGCATTTCAGACTGTGATTTCGGTGGCGGCTCTCGTGGCTAGCGGCAGCGCCTCCTTGCTTGCGTACAACGGCGTATATGGAGGCCATCACGGCCTTCTTGGCGCCTATCCTTACGCAGGGTATTCTGGTGTGGTGCCCTACGCATACGCAGGTGGCCTTCCCGCAGCTGCTCCTCTCCCCTCAAAACACCTGTAATCAAGACCTTGGCTCCTACACCTATCTCTTACAACGTAGCTCCTGCACCTGTATCCTACAACGTGGCACCTGCACCTTTTCCTACAACGTATCCCTTCGCACCTGTAGCACCTGTCCAGTCTCAGTATCACGCTCAGGATGAGATCGGTCAGTACTCCTTCGGTTACGCCGGCGGTGCATCTTCACGCGCTGAGTCTCGCGATGCCTTCGGTGTTGTCCGTGGATCGTACAACTACGTGGACTCTGAGGGCAAGGTTCAGACTCAGCACTACGTGGCTGACGCCCTTGGCTTCCGTGCGTCCGGCACCAACCTTCCTGTGGCTCCGACGCCCCTCTGGCCGCCCTCCCCGGCCCCGTCCCCGAACCCGTCCAGGACACTGCTGAGGTAGTCGCCGCCAAGCTCGCCCATTTCCAGGCCTACAACGAAGCCGCCGCCGCCGCCGCTGCCGCCCCAGACACCCGCTAAAGAGTGTTTTAGAAACTGCATCATATCTGTGCGTAGAGCTCTCGCCAGCAGAACAGCATCAAGACTCTAGTCAGTTTCGATCGAGAGTTGACGACGTGTATGAGATACCTCTGAATAAAAGTTTCTGTAAGATTTTTTCTTCTACATTTCTATACCCAATAATTTCATACCCTTTTTTAATCATGTTCCTCAATGTTATCATTATTATTTTTTATCAACCTATTTTAATGCAAGTAAAATCGGTGTAGTTTGCTCTCCATTTTACACATCAATATATTAACACAATCTTTTCTATACCGTTCCTTAAACTATGAAATCATTGTACACGAATTTATTATTGCTTTATTTGGGATTTTTAGAACACGAGGACGAGATATGGTCCCTGTATGAAATATATTTCACTCATTTTGATTATGGTAATGAGTAATGGTGATTGTAATACTGTAAGTCATGTTTAATAATCATATTGATATCAACAATACGCTACTGATGGGGATGATTACTATACCTCTAATAATGAAAATGGTAATAGAAATGGTAATGGCAATAGCAATGTTAATAAACATGATAATTGATGATATAGATAAATATAATCATAATTTCGTTGAAATAGCTATACACTCGCTTGGTTTCAAATGGCAAGCGCGTGTCTGATTTTCCCCACGCTCACTTCGTGGGAAGAGCAGCCGCGTACTCTGTCAAGTAAATGAGAATAATTTTTGTATAGCAAGATGGCCGTCCCTTCGATTTCTATTCCAAGATTTTTTTACTGAGGAGAGAAGTTTGGCAATGCTGATTACGGGTATATAATCTGTAAACGACCTTCTTTCATTTACTCTTTTCGGTTACAGTTCCAAGAAATCTTAATGAAAAAAGCATCATTACCCAAGTTCAGCAGTGTCAAACTCGAGTCTTTCCTGTGCCATGTCAGTTCAATTCAATCTACCTTTAACAGAAACAACGGAGGTGATTTATGATTTTTTAATTTCATTAGTCACAATGAATATTTTTGGAACAGGGTGTCTATTTATTATTACTTCTAAATTACCCCTTGTGTGCAAGGAATGGCCGGGGTTACCATCAACTGGCGGCGCGGGATTAGAACGCAGGTCAAGATTGCTGGACGAGAAAAATACCACTGCACTACACAGAGTAGTAGTACATGAAGGGAGATTTTTGTTACTTTAAAAGACATGATTTGGTCTATGTTTTAAGATTTGATTAATAATGCAATTTGAGTCGCCTCCAATCCACATTCATTGAAAATCGCTTTTAGAATGAGCTTATTTTCTCATATTATTTACACTCAGATGAAGGTATACTTAGACAAGCAAGTTCATCATACTTTTCTGTTCACCCTTCATTACCTGCATCTTATATGAGTAAAAAGTATATGCACTTATCCAGGACATGTGCCATACTCTATTGATATTAGTCATAGAATAGAAATAATAAAATAAGAAAGAAAAAGGAAACAGACTGCCTCGACAGTAAAATAATACCAGCATATAATGCAGCTAACCTGCAGTCTATTCAAACCTGGGAAACTTGTTATACCTTTTAATCCTTGCCATTGCCTTCTTTCAGGTTTAAATTCCTAATGTTTAGATAAATATTACGCGGCATTTGTTTACCAAAGTATCTATTCAAGTGGTTTTGTCCTTCAAATTATGATAAAGTCCTGAAACCTGTTTACATGATTATGAAACAAAATGTTCATCCTTGTATTTGTCAGAGGTATTTCTCAGATTCAAATTCTCAAGAAATATTTTGGGTCATACAATTGATCAGATAACGAATTATTCACCAACGTTTTTTTTTCCAATAGTATTTCTATTCAAATTATCAGTAAACATTTCCTAAATCTTGAATGACTTGATTTTTTGTTTATTTTTCGTTTTCCTGCAATCCTCGAGGGTCACTTTCCCTCCACCATCTGCGGCTCCCAAACATCCTTTGAACTACTTAAGGGCACCTTAAGTTAAACAATGGATGGTCCTATAAGCGATGCATATAAAAGTAAATCTCAAAGTTCTATCCCGGATTTAGAACATTTTATTTATCGCAACGAAAGGTCGAAAATAGAAAGGAAGGATAGCCACGCCCCTTCCGAAATGGTCATGTTCCCCAGGTATTTAAGCCGCAGCCTTACCCATGGGCATCAGACAGCTCCTTGGTGGTGGGTCAACATGAATGCTCTGGTGAGTTCAAGGTAGTCCAGGTAGAATATGGGGACTCATATTTTGTTTATATATTAAGGTAACTGAATGAAATCTTTGTTTCTGGATTTTCATTACACGATAACGTGCTGTAATGGAAATGTTCCATTTCAGACTGTGATTTCGGTGGCGCCCTCGTGGCTAGCGGCAGCGCCTCCTTGCTTGCGTAAGCGGCGTATATGGAGGCCATCACGGCCTTCTTGGCGCCTATCCTTACGCAGGGTATTCTGGTGTGGTGCCCTACGCATACGCAGGTGGCCTTCCCGCAGCTGCTCCCTCACCATCAAAACACCTATAATCAAGACCTTGGCTCCTACCTATCCCTTACAACGTGGCTCCTGCACCTGTCTCCTACAACGTAGCTCCTGCACCTGTTTCCTACAACGTAGCTCCTGTGGCACCTGTAGCACCTGTTCAGTCTCAGTATCACGCTCAGGATGAGATCGGTCAGTACTCCTTCGGTTACGCCGGCGGTGCATCTCACGCGCTGAGTCTCGCGATGCCTTCGGTGTTGTCCGTGGTTCGTACAACTACGTGGACTCTGAGGGCAAGTTCAGACTCAGCACTACGTGGCTGACGCCCTGGCTTTCGTGCGTCCGGCACCAACCTTCCCGTGGCTCCCGACGCCCCTCTGGCCGCCCTCCCCGGCCCCCCCCGTACCCGTCCAGGACACTGCTGAGGTAGTCGCCGCCAAGCTCGCCCATTTCCAGGCCTACAACGAAGCCGCCGCCGCCGCCGCTGCCGCCCCAGACACCCGCAAGAAGCGTTCCATCCTTGCGGCTCCCGGTCTCGGCGTCTACTCTCCTCTCCGTTTCTCCTACGGATTCTCCACTCCCCTCCACTACGCCCACCCAACTACCTATGCTTCTCCTCTTCACTACACTGCCGCCCATCCCGCCCTCACCACCTACAACGCCGTCCACGTCCCCACCCTACGCCGCCGCCGCCAGACCCGCCCTCCGTGACGCCGAACTCCTCCGCGTGGTCCACAACCCCGCCCACACCTCCTACCGCGTGCTCAACTGAGTTGGAATCCAGTCACGTGAGGTGTGACGAACGCATTTGATGAGGTTTGACACCTCACTATTTGTACAAAGAGCGAATTATGTATGATCTATTAAATAAAATGATTTCACTGTCAGCATACTGTCATGAACCTAAACCTCAGTCAGCTAGTAACGTGTACGGCAATAATAATAATAATAATAATGAAAACATATTTAGTTGCCCTATCTATCTGCGTTCACACACACACACACACACACACACAACACACACACACACACACACACACACACACATACATATATATATATAATATATATATATATATATATATATATACATATTGCATACAAATGCATGTAAATGTATAAATCCACGAACCAACATACACAACACACAAAAAAAGAGTTTGTACATATACCGAATATATATATATATATATATATATATATATATATATATATATATATATATATATATATATATATATATATATATATATATATATATATATACATATTATATATGAATATATGGTGTGTGTGTGTGTGCACCATATGTAATAGAACAGAAAAATATAAAAACAGAATTACAAAACAATGAAAACTTTTATGGAGTCACATACTAAGTAGAACAGTTATCAATAACTATGATCTCCAGTTCCCCTTTCTATCCATACCTTTCTTTCTCTTTTCCCATCAGTCTTATGCAGCACATTAACTCCTGACATCTGCCGGGGAAATTCAACACAGGAAGACAAAGCATATTATATGCACTTACATACTCGATATCATATTTCTTGACAGTATGTCCAGATAACACATGAATAGTGAATAAGGAATAGGTATATCAATAAAGCACATTTTGATACTTTCATTATATATTATTTTCACAGTGGTTTAGTCTATGTTTATGATAAGACTAGGTAATAAATACAAAATA